AAGAAGGGTGGCTGTGTCGGGAGCTGGGCCGGCGTCATCTTAATTGAGAGAGCAAAGGGCTGGGCAAGGGGGCCGGTGCAGGGACAAGGACTTCTGCCTGATGGGGAGGAGAGAGGTTTGGAGGAGCTTTTCTGTGCCTATAGCGCCTCCCTCCGCCTGGTGTGCATCTACCTGTCGCTTGGTGCTGGGACCACAGGAGTCCCAGGATCTCGTCTCGCCTCTGCCTGTAACTTGGCCTGTGTCACTTCACTTCCCTTACTGTCAAGTGGGGCCAATAATGCCCTTTTGAGATTACTGGTCAAAGGGGCTGTGTTCTGCGGACAGATCCCCAGGGTCGCACCCTCTGTGCCAAGCTTATTTTGGCCCTGAAGAGCTGTGGTCCTGAGGCTGGGGGAGAAGAGGGCTCCTTATTTCAGTGGGACTCCTTGGGTGAACCCTGGCTCGAGGGAGGAATCTGGCATGATGAACCCCAAGTTGGCAGCCCTCATTGCTTGGCTGAGGGGCACGTTGCCCTAGCTCATAACCGAGGCTCTCTCCTTTGCTTTGCCTTGGAGGGAATATGGGAATAGTATAATTCTCAGCAAAGTTTCTGGATTGACAAGAAAGGCGCCCACAGTTTCTCTGCAGAGCAGGGGCAGCGATGGTACAAAACTTCCCTCACCATCCGGCCCATGGGTGCTCAGCCCTCTTCAGGAGGGATCCTGCTGGAAATGACAGATCTAGTTCCAGTCTAATGTCCTTTTTCACCTTCAGCCTCTTTGTTAAGCCTGAGGTCCAGGGAGCCAGCTAGCGGCTGTAGCAGCCGCCTGCTAGCAAGTGGGATGAGGTCTCTTAGATGGTTTCACCTAAGTCACCAGCCAGCCTGGAGACGGCAACTGGTGCAGAAGGGGTCAAATTTTCAAAAGTGAGTTAGGAGCCTAAGTCCCATTTTAAAAAGAGGGCTAGGCACTAAGGAAATGGTGCCCCTTTGACTTGTGATGGGCCATTGGTGCCTACTTTCCCAAGCTGCTTTTGCGAGCGGGTGTCGGGCTCCCAAGTCACTTAGGCATTTTTGCAGATTTGACCTTGCTCCCATCAGAATGGCTTTTCAGTGAAACAGATTCCCCTTCCTCCCCCAAAATATTAAGTTTTGCCAGGCACTGAAATCCTAAAAACTCAGTGGAAACGAGGGGAAAAAAATTGCCCCTCCTCAAAATTGGGTACGGGAATAAAAATAATTTCCCAGCTAGCTCTTTGGAGCAACCTGCACTCTTCCCACCCTGGACTAGATGAGAATGGGTAACAGAGAGGCAAAAGGATCCGTATAATTTTCTGAGGTATTTGCTCCCTGCAAGGTTTTAATTTGCACAGTTTATCTCCAGGCCGGTGCAGAGAGAGCACCAGCAATTTGCCATCAGTGGCAGTCAGGGTTTGAATACAGGGCTTCCTGGCTCCTTGCTCCTCAGCCCACGAGCCCCAGGGTTGCATTATCCCTTTAACGGGCCCTAGATAAACAAACTTGTGGGCCCCTACTTAATACTGTATATTTATATTACTGTTTCACTCAATAATTGTAATATGTAAAATAAGCACAACTGGGCCCCTTCTTGGCCTATGTGTTAATCCGGCCCTGACTAGACCTCACCGCCATGGGCTGGGAATGCTCTGTGTTGGGACAGCGTGCAGTACGGCTGGGTGCTGCTCAGTGACTGGTGTTCACAAATAGCGACTAGTAACATCCCAGCCGCCTGCTGAACTACAGCTTTGGGAAAAGAAAGGCCTGGAGATGGGGTTAAGCTTCCAAACCCTGGTCCAAACCTCCCTTCAAATTTGGACAAAGCCCTGGATTTAATGCAGAGGAATGTAACATCTTATTCCAGATCCCAATTTCAAGAGCCCAAGGTTGACTCCAGTTGCACTGCAGAGAGTTTTGCTCTCTCCAGTTATTCAAAGGGCTCATTATTATCCTTTTTGCAACATCCAAGATTATGACAGGCATTTTACGGGCTAGAAAGATACTTTCTGCACCTCAAAGAGCTTAGCAACTAAGGTCCCAATCAATTTGAAGCAGTCAAGCCAGTCCACAGATTTCTAAGAGAGTTTTCATGAGCTGCAAATGAAGGACACACATCAGTGTTTGGGCCCTAATTATAGACAGGATGATGGGAGAAGCGGAGAGTAACAGACAGAAGGAGGGGATGGAGGGAAGCAGGCTGAGTGTCCCAGTGATGTGATGACAGTGGGGTGACTCAGTGTTTGTGTATATCCATTGAAGGGGGTTCACTTAATAATCATTATTCTTGTTGACTCGGCACTTGAACATTTTTTGAATCAGAAAAGTGCTTCACTATATAAATACTTATTACCTGCTATTAGAACATGGTCTCCATTTAGTGGACTGGCGTTAAACATCTCACGTACCATATCCTTGAGGCATGGTTTTGCCCTGAGAAGTGTCTCCTGACTAAGACCTGCCTGTGAACCCTCCTGTTTTTTTAAATCTCTCATCACCTCCTGACCAAGTGCATCCTCTTTACGATGACCTGTGCCTCTGATTTTTCCCATGCATTGTTACTGCCTCCAGGAACCATTTATGGGGCCAAAAATAACCAGAGGTCTGGTCTTGTAATGTTTTGGGTGGTGGCTCTGTGTTACTTCTGACAATAATCCTGAGATGGCTGGGTCTTGTTTTGTTCCTTCCCAGTCAGTGGCCTACTGAGATAGCACAAAGAAAATGGATGCATAATCCCAAATAGCAGCACCTGTGTGAGCCAAGCACCATGGCCTCAAGGATACCCCCACACAGTCCAAAGCATATGTACCTGAGACATAGGATCAAATGCACCCAACGACTAGCAGTTTTGTTGGGAACAGGAGTTTTGCTCTGGGTCCAGAGCTAAGTCACGGTCCTATATAACATCCTGGTCCATCACATCCTGCCCTCCAACAGACGCATGCACAGATGTACATGCCCAATTCTGCCACACGTGTGTTCACTCTGGACAAACATCAACAAACAGCCGTTCACACACCTGTAAGCCCACTGCCAGCACCGGCAGTTACGGTTTCACTGGCTCTTTAATCCAACCCGATAAATAATTTACTCCTCTCTTGCAATTCATCAAATATTTATCTTCCCCATGAATTTCCCAGCCTGGATATGTCACTACGAGGGTAGAGGGAACTGGGTGGAGCTAGCAGGGGAGTTACCTGTTGCCGGAGCTCAGCACTGCTGTGGTACCTAGGAAGCTGGAGGCCCGGATGAGACCTCCCTTCACTTCTTACTATTAGGTGGACAGATGCCTGGTGTCTAGTGCTCTCCTTGCTATTTTTTTTTTCTCCAGGATCTTCCTGGATCTTTTTTTGAAGCCTGGGGTTTCTGGGTGCAGAGACTTTGCAGTATTGGACCCTGTGATTTTTTAGTTAGGAATGAGAAGACATTGCAAAGCCTTGTGAGTTAGGATTGGGTTTTTGCAAAAGCAGGGGCAATACTAGCCCAGGCTTCAGTGAGGAGGCAGGCATGGAGGTTACAGAGCAAGACCTTGATCCAATGTAGCTTAAAGAAATGAAAAGAGAAGCTGTTGGGAATGGCGCATGGGGGTTGCCTGCCTGCTCCTCTGGCAGCAGTCCCAGTCCCAGCCCCAGCCAGCAGCAGTGATAAAAAAATGCACCCATATGTGAAGTTCACAGTGATCACGGTCTTAGCCCCTTTGCACAAGTGTCATTGCCCTGTTTCAGTCACTCATAGCCAGGAGGCATTTCAGAAAGTGGGTATCAGAGTATTGCAGTCCCCTACTGTCCTGGGAGGAATTGCCCTGCAGTAGTGCTGCTTGCTGTGCTTCTTTGGGCATGTGATGAGCAAGAGAGGCTTGCGGTCGGATACTGATGCTGGGTTCATTTCTTTGACTTATACACACAAGTGCATGGCTGGTGCTAGGATGGGCGTAACTGTGTCTCTCCTTTCAGCAGGTCACAAATACAGGGTGATATTAGGAGCTTGGCTGTTCTCAAGTGCATTTTCTCCAGGACCAGATCCTGGCTTTCAGGGAGGCTGCTAAACTGGCCAGTCCCTTGGTGACTAGCAGTAGCCTCCTGGGACATCACTGCAGGTTGTGCTAATCACATTAGTTGAGTCTCTGGCCTGGAGGAGCGTGGAAACCTAATCTCCACTTTCTTTGAAACTGGATTCTTTGGATGTGCAAATACCAACTTGCTCTGAGCTGTGCAATTGAAAACCAAACTTGCCAAGGTGAAAAGAAATGAAGTTTCAAACCCAACAACCTTGGTCTTATTCACTGGAATGATGCCCCCGGTACAGAGGTGAGGCATCAGATTAGTTCATATAAATGTGCAAAGGATGGTGAAACAGTTGATGTGGCTGAAGATGACTGCTTTGTGTGGTCTCCGTTCCAGCGTGATGGGACCCTGTGACAACATATACTGTAAAAGTGTACGTAGAGTATGGGGTATTGCTTCATATAATATGAATACAGAGGGGCTTGAATCAAAGCCTAGAGGCTGAATATCACCAGATTCTGGGGACATTTGAGGTGTGAATCTGTGCCTGAATTTTGCAAATGGCTTTTATTGTGGGCCCCACAAGTATGCGGAAACCAACATCACCTCCCCTCGTCAAGTCTGGGACGTTTGAGAGCTGGCTCCCGTTTTGCGGCTCAAGTCCTTGTCCATCATGAAGAGACAATGGGGGGTTGATGTGGCAGCCTGAGCATGGCCTTTGGGTGCTGAATGCAGACAATAGGAATTGCCGTGGATTTGTGAGTTAAGCGCATGAATTTGATGTGCGCAATGCCTCTCCAGAGGCCTTATAGGTTGTGATGTAGAGGCTGTAGTAAGGGGTGGGTTGCTTATATCAGGTGGAAGAAGAGTTTGGGGTATATCTTCCTGCATGAATGTGCTATCTCCTTGCTCCATAAACATCTCTTTAGACCCCCCATGTGACTGCATGGTAGGGCCAGCCAGACCCCCTGTGCACTAACTGTTTCTTCCAAATATTGCTTTAGGGGTGATCCAGACAAATGCGACATCTGGGGGAACACTCCTCTTCACTTAGCAGCAGCCAACGGCCATCTGAATTGCCTCTCATTCTTGATCTCTTTTGGGGCCAACATCTGGTGCCTAGACAATGACTACCATACGCCACTAGACATGGCTGCCATGAAGGGGCACATGGAGTGCGTGCGTTACCTGGACTCCATCGCTGCCAAGCAGAGCAGCCTCAACCCCAAGTTGGTGAGCAAGCTGAAGGATAAGGCCTTCCGAGATGCGGAGAAGAGGATCAAGGACTGCCTTAAGCTGCAGAAGAAGCACCATGAGCGGATGGAGAAGAGATACAAGAAGGAGATGTCTGACAACTCGGACACCATGAGCTTCTCCAGCTATTCGAGCAGTACCCTCAGCAGAAAGTTCCAGCACATGTCCATGATGACGTCCCTGCCATACTCCCAAGCCACCATCCATGGCACAACCAAGGGGAAGACCAAAATTCAGAAGAAGCTGGAGAAGAAGAAGCAGGTGGACGGGACGTTTAAGATCTATGAGGACGGGAGAAAGAGTGTGAGGTCCTTGTCAGGCCTGCAGCTGGGAAACGATGTCATGTTTGTGAAGCAAGGCACCTATGCCAGTCCGAAGGAGTGGACCAGGCGCAATATCCGAGACATGTTTCTGTCGGATGAAGACACTGTCTCCCGTGCCATAAGCGACCCAGGTTTGCACATGGACTCGGCCCACTCTGAGGTCAGCACTGATTCTGGCCATGACTCCTTGTTCAACCGGCCGGGGCTTGGCACTATGGTGTTCAGGAGGAACTATGTCAGTGGTGGGCTCTTTGGGATTGGCCGGGAGGAGACTGGCATGTTGGGTGAGGGCAATGGGGATGGGGTAGGTGTCAAACTGAGGAGCCGCCTGCAGCGCTCGCCAAGTCTCAATGACAGTATCGGCAGTGCCAACAGCCTGCAGGAGAGGAACGAGGAAGAGCTGCCCTGGGACGATGTGTCACTGGGCCTGGATGACGACGAACCTGATACCAGTCCCCTGGAGACCTTCCTGGCTTCCCTGCACATGTCTGAGTTCATCTCCATCCTGAAGAAGGAGAAGATCGACCTGGATGCCCTCATGCTGTGCTCAGAACATGACCTGAAGAGCATCAACATCCCAATGGGACCCAGGAAAAAGATCATAGATGCTGTCCATAGGAGGAGGCAGACACTGGAGATGCCAGATGTCATTGAAGACACGGATTTGTAAGTAGAACATGTCCTGCCCTGTGGCCGTAGAGCAGTATGCCCCATAGCATGTGGAGACATAGATAAATTAAGGGATTAGGTATGTGCTCAACATACTGTCCATGGGAAGAGCCAGGTGCTTAGCCAAGCTCAGTGCTTCTTTGTATGTCCGCTGGGCATGAATCTGCCAACCCAGAGAGACGGCAAGTGGTAGCACTGCAGTCCAGGCTGATTCATGTCCTAGTGCAGCGGGGACGGGAGCTGATGTTCTTGCTGTTCCACAGCCTGAACAAACTCAGCCTGCTTCGAGGCCTCACTTTTACTGAGCACTCAAGAATGAGATTTTCCAAATCACTCAGCTTTTGCCCAACTCTGTTTCCAGTGCGGTCATGTGGAGATGTGCCACTGAGAGAAGAGTAAAGCCAACGCTGAGGGCTTTTAGACGGTCCCTTCTCAGATGTTCCGGTTCTTATTCAGACCTTTTAGGTTTGCAAAATTGAGCTGGGAATTTTATACCGTCTCAGCATTTGTGTCCCTGGAATTAGGAAGGATGATGGAAATGTATGGAAACAAGTGGAGGAAGTTCTCTGGGTTTATTTCTGAAAGGTTTTATGCAAGGTCAGGATGAACACTTGAGTAATTTGTTTTTGTTTGATGCAAACCTATTTGTATATTTTTGGAAGAAGCATAAATAACCACTAAATTCACAGGGTGGGACCTTGACCTGGGTTTCTGAAAGGCCCTGCTATGATCTGCCTAACAGATTTTCTCTTTTCCTTTGCAGATAGCAGTTTTTATGAGCAAGAAAAAAACCAGTTCTAAGTTGCCAGAAAACACAACCCAGTGATGCTTCCACTGGGACACCTGAAAGCCACAGCCTAGGCCCACCCTTCCCAGCTGCCTGCCTGCTTCCCCAGTCTGCTCCCTGCCCGTGGGACTCCCAGACAGGCTGATCTTTGACGCAGGACCTGCTGGACCCTCCGTCTTTGTCAGGAGGAGCTGCCGTCACTTGTTTGTTAGAGGAGTGACAAGAATGTGCAACTCTGGTCGGTAAAACTGAGTGACACGGGAGGACAACACGTGAGGAGTGCCATGGACAACCGAGCAGAACCCAGTCATACGTGGCCTGCTGTAGGGAGCCAGAGGAGTTGGGTGTTTGAAAGAGAGGAATGGGGAGCCAAAATTTAGTTTCCAATCCTGGCTCTGCTGTTCACAGTTTTGGAAACATCATTGAAAGCCACAGTTCCACACGGGACTGCTGTGTTTGGTATCTCATGTTTAGGGTGCCTGGTAGGAGACATCTCAAGTTGGGTTTTCATGGCTCTGTGGCTTTGTTTTCCTTCCAGAGCTGTAGATGTTCAGAGCCTCCAGGAGCGGGCCCTTGATATCTCAAGGGGGGCACCCAAAAATAAAGGCTCCCCCAGCCAGTGTCCCTCTGTGCCTCAGTTTCCAAAGGAGGTAGCACCCCTGTCCCCTCTTGCTGGAGTGTGGTGAAGCCTACGTCACTCATGTCATTGAGATCCTCATCTGGAAGCCGCCACTCCCATGCAAATGACAGGGACTGTTTTTGATAGAGATGGATCCCAGCAGATCTCAGAGTCCCCACCCAGCTATGAGTTTCTTTGCGCTGGGCTGGACCCCACCCTCTCTCCCGACACCTCCTTTACTCCAGCGAGGACAGGTGGGTTGGTACCCCCACACCATGCTCCTGAGGGGAAGGTGGTGACTTTTCACCCTTAGGGACCCGTAGAGGCTGTTACGTGACTTGTAGGATATAGGGATACGGTAGTAACCCAAAAGCCATCGGCGAGCAGCGCGGAGTTTTAGTTGCTGTCACAACTGGATCAATGGAAAGATTTATTCAGGCATTCACATAAGTGATTTGTGCTGTGGAGCATCTTCTGTTGGCCTACAGAAATGCAGCCTCATTGCATACGTGCTGCTGCTTTGACTGACTTCTGGACACTTCTAAAGCACTGAATCCAGGGAGCACCACGCGAGGGTCCACAAACTATTGAAAGGGATACTACCATATTCCTATGCACTACATGACCCTTGCTCTGCTATCTGTGGCTGTGCCTGAAAATGCCATCTCCATGCATATGGGACTTCTAGGAATGAATCGCAGCAGGACAGAAATGAGTGGCCAAAATTTCCCCCCCACCCATTTTCCAAAGGGGAAGCCCTTCCTAATTCTTTCATCGTGCTCATACTATACCCCCTTTGGGTTTGTATCTCTGTATGCTTAATTATTGCCTCCCTAATTATCCCAGGCTGTATAGAATTGTAAGGTTAGGAAAGGAAAGGTGGGAAAGGACTTGAGTCCAACCCACTGCATGGATGTGGGATTTACCGTTCCCCCCCAACCATCCCAGACAAGTACCTATTTAGTCCTCCACCTCCAGTGAAAAAGAGCCCATGACTTCCCTAGACAGCTCGTTTCATTGCCCTATCATAATTGTGTGGGGACGTATGCCCACAGTTCCCTCTGCAGTCGGTGGGTGATGCTATGGGGTGATCTGATCAGTCCCCAGCAGAAGGAGGCTCTTCTATTCAGCAAAGAATATAAGCATACGTTGAAGCCTGGTTGACTTCAGCTGAACTGAAAGGCATGCAGAAGGCTGAAGGCACGCTTTGCTGTGTAGGCATGGCTCAAATATGTGCTTAAAGGCTTTGCTGGATTGAGGCCGAATGAGGGAGGAATGCCAAGTGGGCTGCCTGCCCCTCAAAGCCTTGCTCTTACAGGGCTTGAGCCAAAGTCCACTGTAGGCAGTGAAAACAGTTGCACTGACACCCAGGGACTTTGGAGCAAGTTACCAGGAGAGCAGTGAAGGGCAGAGCAGTCTACCAGGGCTCTGGCCTCAGAGGGCAAACAATGGTATGGGGAAATAACTCCAGCCCAGGCCTAGATCCTTACTGGAGGGGGTTGGGTGGTTGATTCAGGTCAACCGTTGGCAAACCTGCATGAAATCAATGATCTAAAGCAGCAATGGGTCTGGCTGGAACCACAGAGCCGGAGGCCCAGCAGGCTTTGAGCAGGGCTTTGAAATCACTGCCCAGAATTACCTCTGGGCTTCTCAAGCCAGGCCTGTGAGAACGGGGCCGTCTGTAGGATCCAACCAGCCTGGGCAAGGCCTATCTCCATTAAGAGCTAGCCCCAGCCCGTTGGATCCTAATGCTGAAGCGAATGGCAGGGACTCGGGCCCAACTCCCCCATACGGGGAGCTTGTCTGTGCGTGCAAAGACTGGAGAGGCGCCCCTCCCTACCACTGCTTCCACTCCACCTGCTCTCTCATGCCAGACCTTTCCCGCACCAGGTATGTTTCCCATGATTAAATGTATATATGTAAAACTTCTGAGCTATGCGGGCATTGTTGTACGCGTCCCCTACCTGTAAAAGTACCATGTTGTTTACTGCTTATTTATTAGAGATCATGAAACCCAGCTTCCCCCTGGACCTGCCTGACTGATTACATGTTTTTTTTTTATAAGGAAAACCTGGTCTCTGCTGTCACTTCCTAGGCTCAGGTTTGAACACACACCCTACTGGGGTGTGGAGGATTTGGGCTTCTTTTGCTTTCAAAGAAAGGTGGGGATGGGCAGGGGTGAGGCAGCTACTGGTGCCAGACCATCCCATCCGTGAGCATATTCGTTCTTGCCATTGGCTGAACTCAGCTTTTGGGTTGCTTCTAGGGCCCAGCTCTCTGCCCCTACTACACACTCTTTTAGTGGCTCTCTGTTCTCCGGAAGCAGCAGAGAGAAAATTCCCCTTCCCTTTCCCATCCCCTTCCTGGCTTTTGATCTAGTCTCTTCATCTCCCTGTTCTTCCTGCTTTCTCATGCTGATGTCCACACATGTGCATCCAGCTATATTTGTCCATGGCACTGGTTTATTAACTAACCTCAGGGCACATGCCTAACCCTGCTGGTGCCTAACCTCCCCTGACATGTGTGAGAGCACACCTGTGACTTCCAGAGGCCTCAAGAGCAGGCAACAGTAATTGGAGGGAGCAGGACTGGGTGCTTAGGGCAGAAACCAGGGTGTTGGGACATTGATACCAACTACTTTATGATCATCAGCACATTGCTGGGTCTCTTTGCTTTTCTTGCTCCCTCTTGAAAGCAGGGCTAATAACCCACTTCCCTGTGGCACAAGAGCATCCTGAGAGTTTATATTTGGATTTCTTTTCTTTTTTAAAGTGTTAGTTTTCTGTGGGGAGAAATCACTTTCTCTCCCGGGGAACCCCTGGACTGATGTCCAGGACCAGTGGGTACAGCTTAGATGCGCTGAATCTCTCATTTTCCAGCTGGGAGATGCTGGATACAGAGCCCCACGTCATTCCACAAAGACTGGGGCTTTGTGTAAGTGCTAATACCCACTTCAGGCTATTGAAAAAAATTGGGTTTGGTATAATGCAGTGCAACAATCCCCTCTACTGGGATCAGTTGGCAACTGCAATGCAATATGAAACTAGATGCCTAAACACCACTGTACTGGGATAAATGAGAGCCAAGCACAGACCTATGCCTGGGCAGAGGGTCCTTCTCTCCTTGGATGATCCCAGCTCTTTGTCCACGTGTTCCTGTGGCCTCAAATATGACTAATCAGTTCAAAGTGATGCACGTGCGCCTTCCCGCTCATGGAGGTTAAAAACCCACTGGCTGCCTGGGGAAGCCTGTTTGCATCTGAAGGTGCCAGGAGCCAGACTGTGCTGTGCTCCTGCCTCTCCGCTGGGGGTTGTATTACTCCTGAGCCACCTTTCACTTTGTCCCACATGCATGGGATGACCCCTCCAGGCGTATCTGCAAGGACCGTTTGTGTTCTGCGTCCCTAAGATCCACCTACAACCTGATCGGTGGTTCTCAACCTTAACAGACTCCAGGCACCCGCCATTAGCCTCAAGGTCCCCCTCTGAAAATGCTCTTAGTTTTCACTTATTTTTTGACTACAGAAAAAGGATAGAGCAGTTCTTCTGTTGCAAAGAACTCAAGACCACAGCAGGTTAGAATGGTTTTAAGACTATGAATTTCTAGTTGAAATCTCTGGGTTGAACTTGAAAGGGTCTCATGGCACCCCAGGGTGCTGTGGCATGTTGGTTGGGACTCACTGGCCTAATTCACTGTTAAACTTGCCTCATTTGGCTCCACTTAAGGCTGTTTTACCAAGATGTGGCCATGTCTCATCTGGCATCTCTGCTTATACGGTATGTCATAACCCCCCCTCCTTGACACACACATTAAGTCCAGCATTGAGCTGAATGCTTCAAATGCCCTTATCATTTAAATCTAATTATAACACATGTCGAATGTTAAATTACATGGTGAATAATACGCTACATACAGCAGTGCTCAGCATATTCCATGAAGCCAAGGAGCTTAAATGCTCACATCCCCTTACCTTTCCAGCCATTTCCTGCTCCTCTAACCCATCTAAAGGCTTGGGTGTATAGACTAGCTTGGCATGAGAGATCCTAATCAATGAGGTGTTTGCAATTGACTTAATGAGCTCCACATGTGGCTACTTTGAATTGCCGAGAGCTGCTTGGTCATCTTGAGTTTTGCCATTGAGTAGCCCGTGGGGTTTCATGGAGGGCAAGAGTGAAGAGGGCTTAGCTGAAGTCGGAAGACCATCAGATGTTGTGTTTTACCTGGGATGGGTTGAAGGGAGTCAAGTCAGCAGGGCTACGGAGCTTTGCACTAGATCAAGGAAGACCTGAGGCAGGAAGCAGTGATTAGCAGCTGCCAGGAGGCCCAGAGGAACACAAAGCTGCCCATGAACATTGGGTTTATTTCCTGCTGAAGTCT